CTATTACAAGGCAGTAATAGACTCGTGCAGAAAGTAAAAGGGACGGGATTCCGTTGAGGCTGATTCTTGTGCTTCATCTTGACCTGATGTACAGCTGGGGTGACTGCTGGGGTGATTGATTTTTCTGCTGCATCAGGAGTTATCTTAACTGAGTCTCATGAATGCACAAGGTGTAAATAAAGTAGATAAAATGGGGTGTCACAGTAGAGCTTACAACAGGCAGGTACTGAGCGCACAGCGCCATCTTGTGATTATATGATGCACAGCAGCACACAGTGAGCTGAAAGAAAAATCTGTGATACGAGAATGAAAGATGGTGAGAAAACATAAAAGCAAATTTGATCTTAAAAGCTTCCACACGCTGTAAGATTCCTAAAATACGTAAATTTGAAAGGCAGTGTGTTAAAAATGATCTTTGCCACTAAAGATTCTCAGAAAATTTGAGGCATCCTTAGTCAGTACTTGATGATTTAACCCAAAATTATGTTAGTACTTCAGTTACCGCTGCCTTCAGGTGGCAGTGTTGTCTTTTACATTATTACAGGTCACAGGTAGTGTGGATTGATAACAGCATGTAGAAGAACCAGATAACCACAGGGAGATATGGGAGCAGATTGAGGAGAAGCTGAGCGAGAGGAAGAAATGCTGAGGCTTTCTTATTTTATTGGTTCTGACTTGGAGCAAAATCTGGTGACACTTTAATAAGGGTCCTTTTATTAACATTAGTTAATTATTAAGCATTAATAAACTATAAAATCAATATAAGTAATGCTTTACTAAGCAGGCTGCATGGTGGAGCAGTTGTTAGCACTGTTGCCTCGCAGCACGAAGGTTGCAGGTTCAAAACTCTGTTGCGGCCTTTCTGCGTGGAGTTGCGTGTTCTCCTCATGCATGCGTGGGTTTCTTCCGGGTACTCCGGCTTTCCCCACAGATCACAACATGCGCTATAGGTTATAACTTTTACGTCGCTTTGGATAAAAGCGTCTGCTAAATAAATAAACATAAACATAAGCAGCCCTTTGTCCTTAACTTATTGACACTTAAAAGTTAGAAATGTTGAGAACATTAATAAAGGGACCCCTTATTTATTAATGTTTAATAATGCACTAACTACGTTCAAGAGATGCTATGAAACTTTTTCATATTTTAAATAACTTTCTTCAGCCAGCATGTGCTGAAATGTCACTCAGACCCCCACTACCCTCTGTGGCCAGAATACCGCATTTGCCACTTCAGAGTGCCGGTCTGGTCTGTCTGACTAGAGCTGACACACTTGGTGTGGTATTCTGCTTCCACCACGTTTGCTGCATGTTTTAGACATTGAAAAAACAAAAGATCAACGTACAGCAAGGAAAGGAATTTCACTTTTAGTTCTCCTACACGGACACTAGGAGGTGCTAAAAGCAAGCAAAACTGCCAAGTTTGCCTGCAATAAAAGGACCCTTATTGTAAAGTATTACCCAAAATCTATATTAGAACATTTTACAGGAAACTGCTGTGCAGTGGATGCTGTCTTGAAAACAGGAATTAGTAAAAGACCACCAGTTTCACCCTAAATACATTAGCCTTCAAAAGTCAAGCCTTGAAAAAGAACAAAAAGTTATTTCATCTATTTCTCATAGATGAATATGTAAACATATTTAAATTAGAAGCAGCAATTTTGTGATCATTTCATAAATTCCTGTTAATTAATCCCCCTGGCTTTCAAATGTAATGTTTCTTTTTCCACACCTACCCAGCCACAGGCTAGTAAACATGCCCAAATATCCTGATTAAAAAGAGATATTTGCTAAATTCAATCAATCAATCAATCAATCAATCAATCAAAGCTATATTTATAAAGCGCCTTCCGCGACCCTGTCGGGAAGCCCAAGGCGCTGAACATGGTACATGAGAGAAAGAGGTAAAAACATTAACGTAGAAAGCAAATGGGTAAAACAAGAGATAAAGAGACCGATGAAAATTAGGGAATTAAAATCAGCATAAATGAAGTCCTAACTCATACACATTCAGGGAACGCCAAGCGGAGTAGGTGCGTTTTTAGGCGACTCTTAAAGGCTGGCAGAGATGGGGATAGCCTGACTGAGGGTGGCAACTGGTTCCAGAGTGACGGGGCTAGGACTGAGAAAGCTCGGTCCCCACGAGTAAGACACCTAGAACGAGGGACAGCGAGCAGGCCTTGGTCAGAGGAGCGTAGAGTGCGTGATGGGGAATGTCTGTTCAGGAGCGTGACCAGATAGGGGGGAGCACTACCCTGGAAGAAATTGTAAACAAAGACGAGTAATTTAAAGTGTGAAAGATAACAGCAAGCCAGTGCCAGTGCAGGGAGGCCGGAACCGGACTGATGTGGTCCCGTTTCCTGGTCCCAGTCAGAAACCTGACTGTGCTGTTCTGCACATCCTGTAGGTGATGACTGACACAGCCCTGCATATAGAGAGTTGCAGTAATCAAGCCTAGAAATTACAAAAGCATGGAGTACCCGCACCAGGAGGGCTGTCGACAGCATAGGCTTGATTTTTGCAAGGTGTCTCAGATGAAAGAAACTGGACCGGATCACAGAGTTGATGTGAGCATCAAATTGAAGCCCAGCGTCAGTTTTCACCCCCAAACTGGTGACAACTGGTTTTGAGTAGGGAGAAAGAGGGCCAAGATCAACGTAACAACCCACAGCCCTGCTGTTGGGGTGAAAAACAATGAGCTCTGTCTTTCCCTCATTCAGATGCAGATAGTTGGTCATTAGCCAAGACTACATCTCGTTAAGACAGGACACAAAGGACTGGATAGAGACCTTTCTCCTGACACAATGGAGAGTAAATCTGACAATCGTCGGCATAGAGATGGAACATGAGGCAATTTTTACGAAAGATTGACCCCAGAGATCAAATAAATGGCAAACAAACGAGGACCAAAGATCGATCCCTGCGGGACCCCCCAGTGGAGCCCCTCCCAAGAAGAAAAAACATCACCTAGTTTAACCAAGCCCCCACAATGCGGCTCAAAAATTGAAGCAATCCTGGAAGTACCAAAAATTGCAGTTCCACCCTCATCCGCTGGGGGCTGGTGTCAGAAACGAGCAAATCCTCATCGACTCCCATGTTAAAAATACCAATTTCACAGCAGAAACAAACATATTTACAGCCTGGTTCCAAAACATGGTTTTGGTTTAAATTATCTAGTTTACATTCATGACAACTCTGAGGGGGGGTGATTTTTTTCTCTCGCTCTTCTGTTTAAGTGTATTAAAAGCCAAAAATTCTGTATAATTAATGAGCATCAGACCCACGTGACCACAGAGCTAGCTCCGTGGAAAGGCCTCAGTAGAGCCTTGGTCTGGCCTGGAAACTGCTCCGGGATTTTGAGTCTCTGTGTTTGTGAATTCTTTTTTGGATATTATTTGTGCAATTGTTGGACAAAATGACTTGCTGTAGCATTACTTGCACTAATAGAGCGTCCAAGGAGTCTCCACTTCATTTTTTTTTTGGTAAGTAAAATTATATTTATGTATTTTAGGTCACTGCCGAGCTGAGCTTAGATTTTAACATGTACTGTTTAACCATGAAATTTAAATGTAATAGGGTAAACCCCAGTGCATTTAACATAATGCTGCACTTTAGAAAATGGGTGTAAATATAACATGTTGGTGGAGCTGGGTTCCGACTATCGGCTTGTGGAGCTCTCGGGAGACCGATGTTTTCCACCCGGTTCTCCCCTCCCCGCAGCTCGGCGCATCTCTGTCTGATCACGGCTTCTGTGTGCTGCCGGCTTGTGGAGCTCTGGGATGGAAACCTTACCACCCGGTTCTCCCTAGCGGCAGCTCTGCACATCTCAGATCGCAGCGGCGCTTGTCTGCTGTGCGGCTGCCGGCTTGTGGAGCTCTCGGAGACCTCTGTGTTCCACCCGGTTTTACCCAGCGGTCAGCCCGACGTATCTCTGACTCAGAAGCTCTGGTGTTGTGCACAGTTAACTCCGGTAGTAGCTTGGTTGCTACCTCCATTAGCTTAGCTCCCACCTCTGCGTTAGCTTTGGGTTAGCTTCAGGTTAGCTTGTAGCTAGTTAGACCGGGTGTTGTCAGTTGATCCCAGCCTTACAGCCCCACCCTCAGCTCCTCCTCTCTTCCCTTTTGTGGAATTGTCTGGGCTTGACGGAACCTGTGACACGGTCAAAATGGCGGTGGTGGCCACCTCCCATTTCTCCTCAAAAATGTGTTATTGGAGCCTATGGAAACCCATTGTCCAATTTATATGTCGATGAGTTTAACACAGAATGTCCTGTTGTGGAGATACGATCTAAACCAATCCAGAGCAGACCCTTTGATCCCAACCCATTGTTCCAAGCGATCAAGCAGAATCACGTGGTCAACCGTGTCAAAAGCTGGCGTCAGATCTAACAACAGAAGCATCTGAAATTATCTGATGTGTGTAGCAACACTGGTCTGACTCACAGGTCAGATTTAAATTACTTCACAGACAAACAGATATTCCTCTTAAGATAGTCATGTACTGGACGGAACAAGGAACTGCAGTGTCTGCAAGAAAATATTAAATGATCATCAAAATAAAAGACGGAGAGCTATCATTTGGTTTCTGTAGATTTGATGTTTTTAGCACAGAAAGGGACACCAAAAGAATCTGATGCGGGGATTAAAACGCAGTGGTTCATTTATTGCACTTAAATCTACAGATTGAATTTAACTAAGTCAATATGTGCCTCCTCTGTGTTTAGCTGAATTCGGTGATCTTTTTGGTGGTGCTGGTTTCAGCACCACGGACAGCGACTTCTTTCAAAGCCAAAATCAGGAACGATTTTTTTTCTCAAACACCTGGATAACATTTGTAGATGATCTCAGCTGGATTTGTGTAAAGAACCCAACAACTCTCAGACCACTTTTCTGTTTAATCATGCTCTCAAATTTAGTTTTTGGCCCATTTCTTCACAGGAAACGGACAGAATTCAGACGCTATCTGTATTTTCCGCTGTGTGGGTTGGGTTCACTCATCACAGGGCTACTACGAGTTGAAGGAAAGACGCATGCGTACTGACTCGAGGCAGCCGGTCGGAGGAAAAAAAGCCTTATGTTCCATCGGATGTAATCAAGGCAAAGATTTACCTTTTGTCGCTGTGCATACATGCTGAAATTGTAAGTACTGGTAACAAACAGATGTCTGATTGAACGCGCTTATTGAGAGCGAGCGTTTCAGCACGTTTCCTGGTATATATTTGATGGCATGTCACTATGTAGCTGGCTTTGAACAGATCTAGGCTGTGTCTTTTCGGTGGTTGTCCAGGGCGATGAAGCTCCACGGTCCTCGGAGGGTCTCAAACGCGAGGCGGCCAAACGAGTTGGAGCCATTTGGCATACCCAGAGCTGCTGTTGGTTTTAGTGATGGGGGTTATTATCAAGATTTATTCTCTGAATGGATACGACCACCCCCACCACCCATTTCATCGTCTATCGTTGAGCCAAACCAATGCGCGCTGCATCTGTGTCATGCTTTGAATTAAATGCGCGATATTTCGTAGCATTTTGGCAAAAAATTAAAATAAATAAAAAAGACGCGCAAAGATCCGGGGCTGAATTCCAGCTGGGAGTGTGAGCGAATCTGCGGATCCATTTTAGAAATGACCAAATGTGTTCATTGATGGGATGTGATGGAACAAGAGCGATGCGCTTATAGATTTGGAAGCTGTGCCTCCAGGCCCCCTCTCCCCTCCAGAAAATGTACCCAGTAATTATTTATTCATTCATTTTTGCATGGCATCGTGGTGTCAGGTAGTAACCGGATGGTGCCGTGGGTTGGAAGTGACAGCTTATTACATAAATGATCTGACAGGATTTGGCAGAGTCTGACCTGGTGATGACACATTTGCTAGAAGTCATTCTGTGAGCTTAGCCTGTCTATTCGCATGGGCCTTCAATCCACCAGGGATTTATTCTGAAACTGCATATTCCACCCTGGTGTGGTGGGAGTTTAAATCCTATAAATAGTCATATAATTACATGATGTTCAATTCCTTGTTCCTGAATCCAGGCTTGGAATTCCTGCTTACTATCAGCAGTTTTGCATACATAAAAACCCATGATGAAAAAAGCATGCAGAGCCGATATTGCCTGGAATATAGACATTTATTTTTTGCAAAGGGATTGAAACAGAACAAAACTCTGCACACCCCCCCCCCAGCAGCATTCCTTTAGAGTGGCATGCCAGCACATGAGCATCAGGTGCACCACACATAACAGACATGTGTCAGATGTGAGAATAATTTAAATCAACAGATTTGTCTCTCAGTAAAAGAAATGAGGTAGGGATGGACTGATCGTCAGGATTTCTTGATGCCATCACCTCTGCTGTTACAGCACACCCAGTGCTCCCCCTTGCCACACTCGTCGCTCTGGCAGTGATTCCCATCACACTGATGCATCACAGGCCGAGAGCTTTTCTTATGAGACAAAATCTCAGTTACATACTATTCCTGACATCAACACGCTAAACTCATCGCCTCCCTCTCCCCCTTCTCCACTGTCTATAGCCCATGGGATCAGAGCGGATGGAGATGCGAAAGAGGCAGATGTCGGTGCAGCAGGAGTCGGCAACGGGGGGAACTGCACCAGCCCAGCAGGACCAGCTGGGCCAGGCCAACCCACGAACCTCCAACGCATGTTGCTTCTGCTGGTGCTGCTGCTGTAGCTGCTCTTGGTAGGCCTTCTCCAACCGTGAAACTCGTTTGTTCACTATAGGCTTAGCATGGCCGACATCACTGCATGCAAGGCAGCACAGCCTGAGCCACTCTGTCTCAACAGCAGGCCCTCAGCTTCTGTCTCACACTCTCAACAGATTAGCATGTGAGCCGCGGACGTTAGTTTAGCAACAGCCACATTACATTCATGAAAGATCGAACACCACCCTTGCTTTGCATGCAAGCTCCCACAGTTCTGTAGTTCTGTTCTGCTTGTATGTTGTTTGCATGGTGGATATATATATATATATATATATATATATATATATATATATATATATATATATATATATATATATATATACATATATACATATATAGTTCAAAATAAAGAAAGCAGTCAGGAAGCCGCATTCCTGTGAAAATACTCTGTCAACTTAAACCTGCACAAGACACCAAGATATTGATGCTGCAAATGTGTTTCTTACATTCACAATGAACTGTAATATCATGTGATAAAAGATTAATGAATAGAATATGTCTCTTTTGAAGGTTTGCATTGCTTGTTGGCTTCTTAATCGTTTTCCGTAATGGCCTTAGATGTAAAAGCTTTATGTGTTTGTCTCTGTCCATTAGGAATGAAGACCGGGATGATAAGAATCGAAAAGCATCATATGACATCAAGGAAGGGACCTCAGACTGTGAAGAATGGTTAGCTCAGATCGCAACAGAAAATCACTTCCTGATATAAATGTTTTTTCACATGTAAATAACTGAATCCATTGTTTCCTATTGTCTGTGCAGCCCTAAGCCCACGCTGGAGGACGTGTGCTCATGGGGGCAGTCGTTTGATAAGCTAATGAGTTGTCCAGGCGGGAGGAACTCTTTCCGACAGTTTCTTTGCACCGAGTTCAGCGAGGAGAACATGCTCTTCTGGCTGGCATGCCAGGAGTTTTGCAACGAGACCAACAAAAGTGTGATAGAAGAGAAGGCCCGGGTCATCTACGAGGACTACATCTCCATCCTCTCACCTAAAGAGGTGTGGCAGCTTTGTTTTGGTATTTGTTTAAGGATGAAGCTCCGTATTATTAGATGAATGTCGTGATGCATGAATAAATGGAAGTTTTCTAGGCAGTTATAACTTTTCACTAAGAAAAAATGTACTTAGTTTTGTGTACAAGTTTAACATTTAGCCAAAAGAACTGTGTCCCCAACTTCCTTTGGGGTACATCAAGGCTCTGGTTTAAGACTCATTCCCCTTATTTAAGACCAAAATATTGAGTAATTAGAGCTGCCGAGACATAAGATTATTAAAAACCACAGTGAATTTTATTCCTAGAATAGCAGGATATCTTGGCTCAACTTTGTAATCACATTTGTATGTATTTATCTTTGTTATGTCTGTACTGTGTTGGTTATCCAATTTAATTTTTTTGTGGTACACAGAGTGATTTATTTTTCATATAATTCATAATTTATTTAATGTTTTAAAGCTTTCCTATTCATTTTTGAAAATGTTTGATTTTCTACCTTAAAATGAAACATATTAAAATGTATACCGTTTACATGTCTTATTCTATAAAATGTATGTAGCTCTCTTTTTTAAATAAGAATTTTAAAACAACTTTGACTGGTTAAAGCCATAAAAAAGGAAGCAGGAACTTCAGTTTTTAACTGTGCCTTGACAAAGCTAAGCTTTTTTTTCTTTTTCTAACCATATTTTATCCTAATGTAGATTTAAGATATTTTCTCATAAACATTAATTAAAAAAAATGAAACATTACTGTCTTTGAAAAAGATACTGTTCACTGTAATGTTTTACCCTCTCCACCTCCAGGTGAGCCTCGACTCCCGTGTGCGTGAGGCGATTAACCGGAACATGCTGGAGCCCACCTCGCACACGTTTGACGATGCCCAGTTGCAAATCTACACACTAATGCAAAGAGACTCGTATCCCCGCTACTTGAACTCCCCAGCCTATAAAAACCTGCTCAACACTCTGTCAGAGCAGTCCCCTGAATCTTAGGGTGGTGATGACCTGTGATCTTTTAACTCTCTCTCTCCCTCAATCCACGCCTCCTCCTTTGTCAAGAAGAAAAGCTTCTTTAGATGCTCAGTGTAGGATTACATGAGCCAGGTCCCAGACCTGGCCCCTCCCAGGGATCTCAGCACTATTGCGATCTGCACCTGACCGAAGACACTCAGGTCTTAAAATCTCCCGAGGGCTCGACATCACAAGTACTGCTACAGATCAACATAGCAAAACACTCCAAAGGAATATGAATACACTTTAATTCTGGTTTCTTTCTTTTGATAGAAATAATCTATTTTATTTGTGTTCAGAGTTTTTTATGGTCTGTTGTTTTTTTGTATTATTGATTGGGAAGAGGGAAATGATTACTACTGTAGACTAAATACATTATAAATAACTATATATATTATAGTGGGGCAAAGATTATCTGTCAGCCACTGACTGGACAAGTTGTCCCAGTTAAAAAGACAAGAGTTCTGTAACTTTCATCATACTTACACTTCAACTGTGGGAGACAGAATGTATAAAAGTTCTAGTAATTACATTGTATGATTTTAGTAACGAAAGATCACCTCAATACTTTGGTTGGCAATGACAAAGTCAAACCTTTCTTGTATGTCTTCACAGACTTCTCCCTCCAAAGTTCTGCTATTGGATTGAGGTTTGGAGACTGACTAAGCCTCTACAGAACCTTGGAATGCTTTTTGTGCAGCCACCCCTTCGTTGCCTGGGTGATTTGTTTGGTATCATTGTCGTGCAGGAAGATCAAATCAGGTTTCATCGCTGATGGAAGGAGATTTTTTTCCACAAAATCGGACGATACACGATGGCTAAAGTCATCCTTTCCTCAACACGGGTCATCCTATCCCCTTTGCAGAAAAGCAGCCCCAAATCATATAGTTCCACCCTCATGCTTCACACTGGGTGTTCTTGGGATGCAACTCCACATTCTTCCCCCTCCAATTATGGCGAAAGGGGTTTGTATTCTAGAGTTTTACTTTGGTCTCATCTGACCTCATGACATTCTCCCAATGCTCATCTGAATCATCCATGTGGTCTCTGACAAATTTCAGTTGGGCCCAGACATCTGCTGGTTTAAGCAGGGGGACCCTTCAAGTGCTGCAGGATTTTAATCCATGACAACATAGTGTGTTACTAATAGTAGCCTTTGTTATTGTGGTCCTAGTGATGTTACGCTTGAGCGGGTGGATTGATTCTTTTATAGCTTTATTAAAGCGGAAGTGTCGCTGTAGACATCTTGATGGCTTGCTTTTCGAGAGTAAGATCACTAACTTTCCAAAGCTTCCTGACATCAGGCATGTATTACGGGTACTTTGCGCCAATCTTGATTTCAGGGCGGGGTCGTTAGAAATATTGTCGCGACCAGGAACGTTTTTCTGCAGAAGCTTTACCATAGACGTTGTCTACATGGCTTTTGAGGCAATAGTCACAATATGCTTCACAAAAACAAATAAAAGCAGAACAAGTGAAAATATAATTCATGTCAATGAGCTTTACAGTTGCTTGGTGAGTGTAAGGATCTGCAAATCCAAAGCAAAATGTCCCCCTGGTCTTTGGGAATATTTGCTTCATATGGGTTCAGCGGTTTGGAAAGCTTTGGTTTCTCCATGACTTTGTGGTTCCATCCCTCTTCAGGTTATTTACCCCCCCCCCCCCCCCCCCCCCACTGGGCTGGATACTCACTGTTATCAAGGTCATATGTACTCCACAAGGTGAGATCTTGCATGGAGCCCCAGGTCGAGGGGGATTGTCAGTGATTTTGCATTCATTCCATCTTCAAATAACTGCTCCAGATGTTGATCTCTTCTCACTTCACTGGTTCCCTTTTGTAATAGCTCCTCTTAGTCTTGTACAGGTGTACAATCTTGTCCCTAGTGTCCTTAGACGGCTCTCTGGTCTTGGCCATGATGGAAGTTGGAGTCTGACTGTTTGAAGGTGTGGTCAGGTGTCTTTTACACAGGTGACAAGTTCAAACGGACTCCATTAATACAGGTAACAAGTGGAGGATACGACTTCTTAAAATTCATACAATGTGACTTCCTAAACTTTGAACATTCTGTCTCTTACAGTTGAATGAAAATTACAGACATCTCCCGTCTTTTTAAATGGGACAACTTGCACAATCAGCGGTTGCCAAATGCTCTGTTGCCCCACTGTATGTGTTTGTAAATAGTTTAAATGACATTGTGGGTATTTTACGTGGAAACGCCTGGATCTATTTACTGCGTATGAAAATCAAAGCTCGAGTCAAAGCTACGAGTTAGCTCTACTTGCAGGAAGCTTTGTGGGGTACTGTTTAATCTTACCTTGGTTTTTACATCGTTTGATTTATTTTTTGTTACCCAACTTCACACTTCAGCACCTGTGGCAGCGACTTGGCAACTCCAATTCCCGTACCTGCGTGTGATTGTAATTACTACAAGTGTGGAGAAGCTAGAATGGCTCTTATCACAGGATGCAACTTGCTTCCATGAGAAATCAGCGATAGAGGAGAGTTTTGACTTTTATGACTCAGTGTTAATCACAGACGATTGCATGTTTAGGACAAAATTAGCTTTTTCATGCCTCAAAGGTTTACTGCTACCAGAGAAAGTATTTTTATTTTGTATTATTTGTTTAAATACAGCAAAAATACATATATAAGAATTATATCCAGATGTATTGATGGAGTAAACAATATTACACTGTCACGAAATGTATGAAATATTATTACAAATATTTTATCTTAAACTTTATTTCATATGTCTGCAATTTTCCTGTAAGGTTTCTCTTCTTTGGGTGCTAAAAATGGCAAAAAAATGAGAACCACAGGCAAATACTATATTGATTTTAATTCTTATTATCTTCATATATCTATAGACTTTCAAATGCAGTTGAACATTATTATATGATTGATGATGTTGTCATACTAAGTGGATTTAGAGTGAGTGGATACCACTTTTTTCATTATCCTGCCACAAACAAGTGTTCTTCACAAGCTGTCATGCTTTTGTTGTCATTCTCCATTTGCACTTAAATGTCTTTTTAGTTCCGTCAATCTGACGGAGTTTTAGCTTTTGGGAAGCAATTAACAGATTAAACAAAAAAGCAGCAATTAAACCCTCAAGTTTAGCAATAATTACTACAAAGTTTGAAAGAACGTAGTAAGAAATTACAGACCTGTTAAATAAAGCAAAACATTAGACATTTATAATAAAACAATACATGAATGGGAGTTATTTTGGTCAGGACAGGTTAGCGGGAACACCAAAGCTACCATATAAACTGTGTTTTTGTGTCTGATGAAAGCGTTTCCATGAAGTAAAATTGGAGTTGCCATGCGTTAAATACTTGTAGTATATAGTTTTATTTGAATTACTATGTTGCCTCACAAACGTGTCACTCAAAGACAAGATCCTCACATGGGGAAGTGCCTTGACATTCAGTTTTCTGACATCTTTCTCATGGGCAGCGGTTGTTACTGGAAAATCGTCTCTGTCATTGGCCAAATTAACACTCAAGTTTCGTCCTGATGCTTTAGTCTTGAGTACACCAGTGCTCTGTAAGTGGTAACAGCACGCCTTTTTGATTTAATATTTGTTTGAGAACAGAGATCTGTGAACAGGGCTTGTTGATCGGACTTTTGCCAACGTGTGCGCTCTTCACGGTGGCATTCAGTTAACTTCGTATGTGCAATCTGAGATGACGGCTTTGCCGAGCCTCACAACAACAATCTAAGCCGATGGTTTGGAGTGATGCCTAGAAATGTTGTTTCTTCTTTTGTTTACTATTCAAAACGTGTCGTTTTGCTCTGAGTTTACTCAAGAATACATTTTTCAAAAGACAAATAATGTGAATGTTTACAGTATATGGTTTAGGTTTTTTTTTCTGCTACTCTCCCAAGAAAATAAAGACTTGTGGGCATTTTAATTAAGATAAAATAAAGCACAATAATTTTACTTATTCTGGAGTGATCTTGTCATTAACAATAAAAGTATCTCTTACATCTTGGTAAGATAAGTTTAGGCCAAAATTAATGGAAGATTTTGATCAGAACTGGCAATAAAATCACCTGATGACAGAGGAAATGCTGGCAAATCTGGTATTTTATGTACACTTTAATAAACAAAGGGCCCCTTTATTAACATTACCATTGTACTATTACTATTCAGTGTCCTTAAGGTTAGGACAAAGGGCAGAGAAGGGGGTGTCTGCTTAGTAATGCCATACATAATATGGTTCACCAGTTGTTAATACATTATTTCCTAGTTTATTAATGCTTTATAATGCACTAAGTAACATTAATAAAGGGACCCTTATTGTAAAGTGTTACCTATGTATTTTAAATGTGATTTTTACCTGAAGTTAGGACATCAGTTAAGCCAATAATGTTAAATATTGGACAATTATCTATTTTTTATCTATAAAACACACATAATTCAATTCCACTGCCATGAATACATCACCATTGCGACATTTAGTGCAACATTAGAATAAAATTTGAGGCCACTTTTCTGTCCCTCATGGACTAAGGTGATTTTTAATATATGCATGCTCCTAACAAATATCTGTATCAATTAGATTCAGTTTATCATGAAGCACTGGGATTTATTTATTACAGGGTGTAAAGGTCGTACACATTGTTGCACTCTGTTTAATCTAGTCCAGTGGCCCTCATTAGCTCAGCGCAGGCTAACCAGGTGGCGACTATTTATATATATAGCCATCATCAGGATGTTGCCTCCTTATTTATGTAGGCTTGGTTGAACTCCTGTAATGTTAAAATTTTATGTTTTTACTTTCATTGTTTTAACTAACTGTATTTTTTATATGGAATTTTTATGGCGGCCTTCTTGGCCAAGGCACCTTTGCACAAGAGACTTGTTCTCAAAGGATTTCCCTGGTTAAATAAGGGTTAAATAAAAAAAATAAACGTATCAAACACAAATGTGTTGTAAAGTAGTGAAACACAGTGTGACTTTTTCCAGCTGAGCAGCACAATAAAAGCAGTTTTCCATCATGCTGGCAACATCAAAAACGTTTCTCTTTGGGCTTTTTTGTATTTTTGGTCACTGGTCTTTCCTCTAATGACACAACAAATGAAATCCCTTGTTCTTGTGTGACTGGTCTGGGCTCAGTTTGGGTCGTAAAAGGTGGTGCAGCAGCATGTCAGTACCGAGTGTTTGCACCTGGAAAATTACAAAAGCCTCAGAGAAAAGGCGGAACAACTGCGCTGCTTCCGTGATCCGGCCAAGGACATGATGGTGTCTGTAGACGGCTTCATATGCATACATCAGCATTCCCTTTGATGTGATGAATATTCCATCAATTACAAAAGTAAAACACCCACACACACAATCTCACATCCTCCAGGCATTAAAACCACGTTACAGACTGAAGGTGCATCTGGAAAGGTGACTCAATTAAAAGCCCTTCTTTGTAATCAAATGGATTATGTTTTATTGGGGAATTAAATAAAAACATTGCTGTGTCAGGAAAGCAAAAAACATTATGCAAAATCTTAAAACTACATATAAAAACGCAGATAAAAGACAATGAGACAAGAGTCCTGGGATATATGACAGTGATAAACAACTAATAACAGTAAACGGGCTTCAGAGAGGGCATTAGGGCACGTTACAATAAGCTTAATCTATAAACAATATATTTATTTCAACGGTAACCGCAGTGGTGCCTTTGTATAGGAAGTTGAATACAATGCACCACAGGAAGAAAAAAAAAAAAAAAAAAAAAAAAAGCTCCAATCCATCGCAGGAGGACAGAAAACCTGGTCCAGGAATTTTGCTACTTGTTGGAGTGGATGATGGCAGCAGATTCAGCAGAACTAGGGCACGAAAAAAAAAAAAGATTTACTCATTTAATGACTCCTACATTCACCAGACAGAAATGTCAAAAGGCTTTACCAAAGTTGAGATCAGTTTTAAACATTTTGCTTCTGCATTTTCAAAAAGATCTAATTGAGTTTTTGAAATAGAAATCAGATTTTTTTTATTTTACAGTCTGACGACTTCCCGTCTTTGTTTTATTTTCGTCTAATCTTACGGGAAACAACTAAAATAAATACTAGCTGGATACTTTCATCATAGGAACTTTTGCCATGTTCTGAAATGATAAACAGAAATGTAAAAATCCACTACAAAAATCTCAGATCTTAAAACCTGAGAATCAATTCTGCTTTGTGAACGACTACGTTCCAGTTGTTGGTGGCTGCTGTCTGCAAATTCACAGCAAACGTTCAGAAGTACACGACTTACTTTCATACATTTCTAAAAGTCCATTTGCTTCAAGCGTCTAGGCGTGTTTCCACTGTCTGAACTTCAGGGTAAATTTACTGGATCTTTCAGGCACCTTTATTTCACCAGGCCAGCCTAACAGCTGTTTTCCGGCCTGTTTTCAGAGTACCCGGTCAGGGGTAGGTACTCAGAATGGCTCGGTTGAGTTTCTTGTGAAGTAGAATGACTGCGAAAGAAAATAAGCACCGATCACGCAGCTTTAAAACCGTCTTTACTAGGGATGTTCCGATCACGTTTTTTTTGCTCCCGATCCGATTCCGAGTCACTTGATTTTGAGTCTCTGCCGATACCGAGTCCCAATCTGATGCTTTTCAGAAAAGCATTAAAATAAGAAGAAAAAACAAAAAATGTTTTAGCAAAGCATTAAAATAAGAAAAAAACACATCCAAAATGTCCTTTAAGTTTCACTTTCATTTTTTTAGGAAGTACACCAATTAAAAACTTGTTTATATTGTGAATATACTTAAAAGTAGCAGGGTTGCTTTCATCTTAAGTTGTTTACTCCCTCAATATGCAGCGGTGAACCGTGTTCACGAGACGGAGCAGGGAAACACCAACAACGCAGTTGGCTTGTTTGAAGGCAGCGAATCATGAAGCTGTCCAGTATGTACGCACACATTACAAGTGTCTGTATCTCTGCCTTTGCTGTCCGGTTTAAAATACCACCAAGCTGCAGATATTTTAGCTCTCCTGAGGAGACACGTTAGCTCTGTGTTAACAGACTTGCTAACAGCGGAACTTGGTGTCTGAGTCCTTGCCAGCCGTAAATTGTTAAGATGTTACTGTGTTGTTTTCGTACGAGAAACAACTATTATTGATGTAGAGGAACTTATTGAAATGAAAACTAAGCCATTTTTATTTAATTTGAAAATCTATCTCAGGATAAATTTAAAAAGCCATGTTTGTTGTTTCAAAAGGTTAAATCTGATTTATTTCTCCTGATTCCGATCCTTTCAAAAACACGAGATCTGGCCTGATTTCCGATCACGTGATCGAATCGGAGCATTCCTAGTCTTTACTAAACTCCCACCATACCCAAAAACATGGCAAATTTCCCCCACGATGATGTAATTCACAAGGCATTATTCTGGTCATTGAACGCCACATTTTACATCACGCAGCTGCTCTCGTCCTCAGAATGGATTAAATCATGATTGACAGAATAAAACTTTACTGTTATTAATGTTACTGCGGACACTTTTTGGCGCTGATCAGTGACATCATTCACTGCTGAAGCAGTAGCGATTTGCTGACATCTGTTCAAAGTCCTGAAAGGGCTTAATTTTTATGGAGACACAACAGCTGAGAGGACAGGGACATCTCATCTCTTGCTCAGTTTCCGCCTCTAAGAATTTACCCTCAAGTTCTGATAATGGAAACACGTCTCCTGAGGAAAGCCTGCAACGTACCTTCCATCTATTTCCACACTGCTGGCAGAAAACAAACGTGGTCATCGGCTCATCAGCACTACGGGTTTGAACCTGTGAGCAAGCAAACAAACTGTAAGTTACAGTAGTTATTAAAGCATAATTTATTCATTTAAGTTCATTAAACCTACCTGTGTGTAAGTGCAGTTCTTCCCCTTGCATTTGCCACAGGTGAACAGATCAGTCTGCGTTCCTCCGGTGGTGGCCATCTGGTGGTCCCGGACAGCTTCTTTGGTCAAATTTTTCCTCATTTCTTTCAGCTCATCACTGGCCATCTCCTACAGAAAATTACACAACAATACTTCTAAATATGCACATCTATCACACGTTTTTAGTGTTGCAGAGCGTAACTCAACAGCAAGCGAACCTCTGCGGTCATCTTTGCCATCCGCTCTGGAGTGACACTCCCACATAGCACAGTTCTCCTTAAATTAGGATTTTTCATGTCCTTCAAATTTGAGATTCGACTTCGCACACGGTTCTTGTATTTCATGTCTGTGTTCTTAAACTCTTGGTAGATATGTGAAAGAATGTCAAGGAATTCAAAAATAAAAAGAATAAAGCTTTCATTGAAGAACATAGTTTAAACCTACACAGGGCACAATGCAGTTTCAGGTGTAAGAGTATTAACAGATTCATGCAAAGACATGTTTTTGAAAAAACTAAAATAAATGACAGATAAAAAATTATATATATTTTTTCTATTAGGAGCATGACAACGTCCCAAAGCCACACAAACAGCCACTTCTACTAGTGTTTGTTGTTAAGGATATATTCTTCAATCTGCGCTCCAAGCTCCTCACAGTCGGCACCAATAGCAATGTGATCGTCTGAAGATATGAAAGGAATAAACATATCAAAGAGAGGAAATCAAGCTTCAAAAACAGTAAACAAAATATGTACGTGACGCTATGTCTATACCTCCGGTTTGTAGCGCATTGGCCAGCATCTCTCTGCATTTGAGCCTGATAGAGTCAGAGGTGATCGGGGCGCGAGGAAAAGTGTTGTTCAATGTGTTGGGAGCAAGTTCCGAGGATTCACTCTTGCTGCTGGAATTACTGCTGGAGCTGCTGTAGAAAACACAATAACAACCATTCCAAACTGGTTTAAACTAGTTTAAAAAAAAAAAAAAAACAGACCTAAAAAAAAATAAATATGATGTTTTCTTCTGACCTCTCTTCTTTAGCCTCTGGACTTCCCTGTGAGGGAGAGACAACAGGTGTAGTTTGGTCTTTCCTTTTTTCATCTGAAGGTTTCTCTCCACCTCCAGGTTCATCTGAAGTGACAGAAATAAGTAAACAGTTAGTGATAGAAGTGAAAACAGTATCCGTGAGGGTAAAATGTGAAATGCACCGCCAATTTTATGGACCGATTTTCATGGCTGATATCTAGAAGTTTTCCACCTTATTTTCATGCTAAAATATCACTAATGACATCAGTTGATGCACAAAATGTTTGAAACTGAATATGTTTTTGAACTCTGATTCAACTAACTGCTCCATCTTAAATTTGTGCACCTCTCAGTGTTAAAGTCAGACATCTAAGTTAATTTAGAGTATTTATTATGCAGATGTTATTATAGAACGTTAAAATACATTTAAATTAAATTCTGCAACAGCACCGGGCTGCCTGGTGATGTGCCTGACTTTAAATTAGCTTTACTAAGAACAAGTATCGGCCGATGTATAATAAACAGTAAATATCGACCCGATATATCGGTCTACCCTTAGTCTGGGTGTCATTTTCACACATGCAAACATTTAATTATCAGTAATGGAAATCAAAGCAGTTACCCAAAAGCTTCTTCCATGATTTGATCAAGGACTTGGCTAGAGATGTCACTTCATCATCTGTGCTTTGTTTACGGATGGCATTAACAGACATTCCAATTCTGGTGGACTGTGGGAAGACGTGTCAATGCGTCAGTACTGATAAACATCAGCTATGATCACAGGGATCTCTCTAAATGAACAAGAAAGCAAACCTGAAGAAGCTCCAATGTCATTGGGATATTCCGCAACTCCTTCAACAAATCCAAAGCGCCGGCCTGCAGAGTAAAAGCAGGAGGAAGTTTCAAGAAAACATTGTCTCTTCTTACACTGAATCTTTTCTCCGCCTTTCTAGAAATACAGATCAATTCAATTTAACTCAAGGTTAGTGTTTCAGATAAAGGTTAGCCTTCCTAGGATGTAATATGAAAAAATAAACAACCAAGTTATTTTTTATTTGAAATGAAGTAATAATTGTTTTGTAAGAATAATCAATAATTCAAATGTTAATGGTTTATTTACTAATGCAATTTTAACTAACTGTTAAACTTAACTATTATTTAAACTAACTTTATTTAGTCTGGCTTGTCAGACTAGGAATAATGTAGTTTAAGGATTAATATAACGTCTATAGTAGTTCCTTAATTACAGAAACATAACCATTATGTAGCTAACACTGAAGTGTGGATTGGAACACATCACTATTGTAATAAATGAAGGTGGTAACAAATGCTGTCAAAAAATTAAATGTTCCTTTTATTTCAGACATTACGTAACAGTAACTTGAACTTTTGTGTTGAGATTGTTGTTGTTTGAATATGGCATTTAAATATGTCCCTTCATGCTCCACAACACTAGCCTGGCAAGCCAGACTAAATAAATGTATTATTTACTTTGCAAAAAGTAAAAAACTTTGCAAAGCAAGAATATGGTCTAGTTCACTAGGCTACCACAACACTGCTTATAAAGCATTCCTTTGCAGAAAGTACAAATAAACCATCAATTAAAACAACTGGCGGATTGGTTACAAATACAGTTAGCTACAGGTTCATACATGCTTTATGCAATAGCAGAGTGGTGGTTGTGTTGTGCTAGGCTAAATGATACGAACAAGCAACTCTGGAAATAGTTCCTTGCTTTAATTTTAAATAAAAGCACCACCTATAAACTACAAGTGCATTTCCTCACAATCATAATTAGCAAGCATTTTAACTTGCAGCATGGCGTTTCGTTGCTGGGATTTTCAGTTGGCTGCAACCTGGCTAACTTCTAGCGACGTAAACAGAGTTACAGTAACAGAGGCTAATTATCTACAGTTAACTGGGTAATCACAAAGTTCAAGTTGCATCTTTCTAACATGTTATTGGAGATAAATACGTATGTTGTGGTTGAATTACTACCACATTTAAGTAAAAACATGAGCAGAATTTGTTCACGATGACTGAACAGCTAGGAAGCTACATTAGCTTACAGTCAACCCCCATGACATCCATTTAGCACTGGAGTTAGCTATGCTAGCATGTTTAGCTAACAGCATTCATTCCTCTGAGACATCTCACCCCGTTTTTCTTCTGCGCCATTTTATCCATCTTTTTCGCGATTCTGATTACCTCCTCTTCCTCCTTTTTGCCCATGCTTGCTGGTCGGACTGAACTTAAGATTAAAATGCAAACAGAAACAATAAAATTTGCGACAAAAGACCACGCCACTGAAGAGAAAGCGGCTGCGGAGTCAACTTGGCGGCGGACCGGGGACCGCAAAAGATGTGTCCGCTGTGTAGCAGACCCGACTAGACGATGCCCGAGTCCGACACAAGATCAAGGGAAGTTAATCAATTAAAAGCAACGATGTCCATGACAACATCATCTCCCACAAATGGTTACTGATACAAACAGCCTTCTTACTGTATTAAAAAAAACAAGTTTTAAAAAGCAAATCCTTGGTAAATTTCCCAATCTCTATATATTAATGTTCCGTCAGTAAAGCAAAATGTCAGTTAATATATTTGCTTGTCGTTAGATGGCGGCAAAGCGCAACATTTATTGGGAAATAAGTTTCAGAAAATATTAGAAATATTAAAATATGTAATTACAATTAAATTCAATTATTATTATTATTATTAGATTATTATTATTATTATTATTATTATTATTAGTAGTAGTAGTAGTAGTAGTAGTAGTAGTAGTATTGTTGTCACGTTGCGGGTGTAGGAGGCAAAGATGCAGGATAACGTAAAAATGATTTTAATAACAGAGCGGGAACGGCAGGACCAAATACAACGCTGACAACTAACACAGTGATCTGACCAAGACTGGTACAAGACGGGAGGTATAAATACACAGGGAAAATTAGGAACACATGGGCAGGTTAACGAGGGGCAGGTGAGAACAATAAGGACTAATCAGGGCAGGAGAGAGACACAGTCAGGAAGACAGGGACGGATCGTGACAATTGTTGTTGTTGTTGTTGTTATTATTATATGACCACTACGATTAATTAAACATGCATAATGATTGGTTCAGAATTAAACAACTGACTTTTGTTTTGTTCATTCTTTTTAATATTATCAATTGTCACAAATTTACAGAAATAAAAAAAAATCATAGCAAATTATGTCTAACAACTTATATTTATTTTATTAGACTATTCTTAAAACACTATGTTGCCATGCTGTGGAGTTTTCCACTCATAAAATTATGTAAAACATCCATCCATTGTTTTCCGCTTATCCGGGATCAGGTCAGCGCCTATAGCAGAGAGGCCCAGACTTCCCTCCCCCCAGTCACTTGGGCCAGCCTCTCCGGGGGAATTCCAAGGTGTTCCCAGGCCAGCTGAGAGACATATATCTCCAGCTTCTTCTTATGGGTCTCTTCCAAGTTTCACCTGCAAGGTGTCCAGGAGGTATCCTATGACCAGATACCCAAGCCACTGGCTCCTCTGGAGGAGTACTGGATCTACTCCGAGCCCCTCACAGATGTAAAACATTAGCTATATTTATTATTCATCTAAAACAACCTGAGCAGTCATTTTCGAAAAAAAAAATGGTTTTGCTATTGCATTTTAGATGGTCCATGTTATTTTGCTCTTCTTTTAATTTGTGTCACCTTGGTGGAAAAAGGAGCCCGGCTCCACCTATAATGCCAAATGAATTGTTTTAACATGTGATATAAATGTTGAGAGTTATTTTATCTTCAAGCTTGACTGTTAGGATAAGCATATCCTGAATTGCTTTATGCAAATGTAAAAAATGTGTACAAGGCATTCTCAAGTTGTTGGTGGTGCAATAATTAAGTCATTAGAACTTTAGGGGTTGTTTAGAGCGTTTAAACAGAGATGTGGTTATTGGCTGTTCATCATTACAATTTATGGAGCAGTTATGGTGTAAGACTTCAGAATTGTGAAGTTTTATTTGTTTATTTTTGTTAACTGTTGGTTAAAGAGAGAGCTTGGAGATTTGAGACAATTTGACATGTGTGACCCCCAGCAGACACCCCCTAACCTCCCACACGCCACACGTTAGTAGCAGTTCTTACTCAGGCTGGGGCTGCTGGGAATTGGCACTGTGCCTGGTGACTGAAAAACTGTGACACAGCGCCAACCAACTGAGGTATTTAGATAATCTGTCTTCCTAAAAGGCCTGGAATGAAAATCTACCATCACCATGGTTAAGATAGATTATGTTAAAGGGCTGCACACACACTCTACTGACAGACAGTGTGGATTTTTGCAGGACTTGTGGCAATGCCGTGTGCATCCTGAGGTCTGATGGTGGAATTGCTGATACCTGCTGCAGGGTAAAAGTACTCCCTAAAGGCTTTATTCTGCCACGTGCTGTCAGCAAGTGCGCAAAATCTTTCAACTAATCCCTATTAGGCCAAGAACTCACAAATCTGATTACACTGGCTGCTCACAAATTCAAAATAGTCTCTGAGGCCACCTGTGGTCTCTGGACAGAAAAAGATTTGCCATGCTAACTTAGACACAATGTTTGTTTCTATGAACTTTCACCATTTTCTTAAATTCCATGGGCTCACTTCAGTGTTTCTGCACCTAACCATCAACCCCGTTTAATGTTTAATTGTTTTATTGCAAAACATAATGAAAACTTTATTGAGTCACAATGTGAAAAAGCGTATAAAAAGCTGATCTTTGGAGCAGAATGTATAGGCGAATATAAAATATTAATTTTTATGTTTAAAAAAACAAAATCACTGCCCTATTTGTGGAAAAATCTCCATGAAATTATTCATTTTTTAAAAGTCTAAATTTGAATTTCCAGTTAGTAAAGTTAAAATATATTTCTTCTTTCTTTCTCACCTTAGATGCTGATTAGGTATTAGTAAAGATTAGGCAAATTGGCCGTGATGGTGCCTGTCTGCAAATAGTTCTCCAATGCTGCTGAGAGGCTTTGAGCAGCCCGTGCGGCAGTAGCACATGCATGCTTTGTTGCTGCTATAATTAAGGAGAAATGGCATCTTCATGGTAAGCTTTGATTTATTACATCAGACGTTGGTTTTTATTTTTAAGCAGATATGATTTTTTTTTCTGGTTTAAAGGAGCATTAAACCTGTGTTCACTTTTAGGTGGAGAGTCATTGCCTTCATCTTGTTTTTGCTCCAGCGCAGATTTATTAAAGCAAATTAGAAAGCTTAAATTTCTCAACAAACCAACTAACTTTCTGCTTTGACACAAACATTTCTATTTTTAAAATCCAGTCACGCTCATCTGTATTTAAAAATGATCAGACAAACCCTGCTGAACCTAACGCGGTCTAACTGACCTTTACTGTTTCCTAATTAAGGTTTGTTTAAACTACTCCATAGTCTTCATGTTCAAGAGTATGGGTTGTAATGCTTTAGTTGTTTTTTCATCTTATTTTCATTAAGGAGAAAAACCTAAACGACATCATAATGCAGCATTTTCTAAGTAAGTTGTTGTTATATTGATGTCATCATTACTTTACTTGAAGGAGACCATTAATATTTGTAAAGATTTCAGTTTTGAGCCACAACTAAAACAAAATGAAAGGTGAAAAACTCTTATTTTAGTTAATCATTGCCATAATTATTAGTGTGTGTGTGTGTGTGTGTGTGTGTGTGTGTGTGTGTGTGTGTGGCACGTGCACACACACACACACACACACACACACACACACACACACACACACACACACACACACACACACACACACACACACAATTTTTTTATAAAAATTTTACCCAATGATTTTTCTTTTCACACTTTTCTTTTTGTTCACACACTTTTTTCCAGCTAATTGTTTTTATTTAAAACAATAAAAAAAAAAACAAGTTCACATGATGGGAAGTTACAGGTTAGAACTGGTTTTACATACAAGAGGGGGAAAAACCCCCAGAATTTCAGCTTAACATGAGAAGAAAAATATCCAGTGACAGTATTCAAAATGAAAAATTGCAAATCCCTCTCCATCTTTTTGTTTCCCAGCCACTTCCCCTCAGTATGAGCAGCACCTCTGTCCAAGACCCCCAAGCCCAGGGCCTGCCTTCCAGTAGTGGGCCCACCTCACCCTCCCGACCTCTACAGCCCTCCTCTGAATCTTCAGTGTCTAAAAAAGTTTGCTTCTACAAAAGCGGTGACTACAAATTCAGTGGCCATCGTTTGATCATCACTGCCCGCACCTTCAAGACGTTTGATGCTCTTCTGGATGCTCTGTCCAAAAAAGTGCCTCTGCCGTTCGGAGTAAGAACAATCACCACGCCGCGGGGAACTCACCTTGTTAAAGCTTTAGAGGACTTACAGGATGGGGGAGCTTACGTGTGTTCTGATCAGAAACGGGTGAAGCCGTTAAACCTGGATGAGGTGAACCGGAGACAGGTACCTTGGAATGCAACCAGACTGCTCAGCGCACGGCGGCGAAAGCGTCAAGGACTCCGATCTGGTCAGTTTGAAAGAGGGAACAATGCAACCAGCAGGCCAGCAAAGATCACTGAAAGGGTGGCAGTACGGACTCCGAAGAAGCTTGTAGTCATCAAAAACAGAGATCCCACCGTTAAACGCACCATAGTGCTGCAGAGGAGAACTGCACCAACATTTGATGCTTTGCTGGATTACCTGTCTCAGATCCTCCAGTTTCCAGTGCTGAAACTTTACTCCACCGAAGGCAGAAGAGTGAGTAATTATTAAGCTGTATCTGTCCACCCTTCACACACACATCATCAGAGACCTCAGACCCTACCTTAGGGTTAGGGTTAGACCCTCACAACACAGACCAAAGCCTAGTAATTCAATTTAAATAGATGGTTAGATTTCACTTGAAAAGACATTGGACAGAAAAACTTAAATTATGTTTAACTGTGCTTGTAAGATTACAATTGCAGCTTTACGAATCCTACAGATGAAGGTAAATATATGTCAGTTTTGTGAATTTAAATAGCAAAAGACATTTCAAGAAGTACTAAGAAGTACCATCAAATAGCTCCTGTTGGGTTACTCATCTAATCCCTCAGCCTCGGGTTAAAGATCACAGGAACTTTTACATTTGGTCAACACTTGTAATCCATCTTTGGCTGGTCGGTTTTAAAGCTGCAATGGCAAATCTTCAAAACAAGCTAGCTTAAAACCTTTTTTCCTGCCTCTTAACATTCTGAAGTTGTATACGGGATTGACTCACAAGGCATTCGTTTATACTTGAGACGACTGTTGAAAAATGAATGAACTTGTCTTTGAAGAAAAAAAGCTATTTTAATGTTTTAGATAATAGTCAAGATTTCATGGTGTCCTCTGAATTATTACTTTCCTCCATTCTTATTCCAGATTGATGGTCTTGCTGCTCTCATTCTGTGCTCTGGAGTTGTTGTGGCAGCTGGAAATGAGCCATTCAGATTAGGGAATTACAACTTCCAAAGAACGGGCCAGATTGCTCAGATCTTGTTTGTGGAAAATGTGGAGCCATCGTTACAACCTAGTATCAGTAAGTGTGGAAATGTTCTTGGATAATTGATAAATGTGACTGATTAGAATTTCATATGAATTCAAGAGGACACATCTTCCAAAATTTACCTTTTGCACCCTTTTGTGCTGTCTCGTGGGTCTCTACTGCCTCTATGAACACTCCAAATGTAAAAAGAAAAAAATCCAACCAGTGTTTGGTGTTAGGAATTATGTGACTAAAACAAGCCATTTCAAAAAGTCTCAGTTTTTGATTTCACAAATGGAAAAATGAGCATAGAACAACCTCTCATGTGCAAGTGTGCTGCTGCTGGAGGAGCAGCTGCTCTACTCCGATCACCCCATCATATTGGAGCTTCTCAGTTTACAGTAGCCTGAGAGGGGGGTGGAGTAGACGTGGCCAGCTCCAGGTGGTTTCCTTAAAAGCGTGATCCACTGAAAAACAATCTTTTAATGATTATTTTTGATTATAATCGTCACTCTGAGTTTTTCATGCATGCTGAACATGAAAATAGTCTCCTACACCTATCTCCTGCATTAGCTTCTGAGAAAAAATAGATGTTGAGACTCTAGGATTTTAAAATTCTGACAGATCTACGTAACACTGTTACTTAACATTCATGAACTCACCCATCTTGACTCACAACAGGGAAGTCTGTTGTTGGTTTAGCATGTAGGAAATAGCACAGGACACCTCAGTAGTAGAAGCTAACCATTAGCATCAGCAACTCCATTACATGGCAGAATTCCTCCAGGCTCGTGTTATTTGTGGAGATAAAGCATCCATGTTGCAGAGCAAACAGAGTCAGTGGGTGTTGCTGTTAGCCAATCAGAGGCGAGATGCCCAAATATCAGGAAATAAGATGCCAAATTCTGCCGTGTTCTACCACTCTCTGATCTGGCTCACTTCTAGCTGTGATACAGGCGCACCAGGCATTCATTCCCTAGAGACCAATGCTAATGTTTTAAAATATGAGTAAAGTGCCGCTTTAGGTTATTTTGTCAGGAGAGATTCACATGATAATTGATATAACTAGTCTCAAATTGTCCAAAAAAAAACCCAAGAAACAATATTTATATAACCTTGTTCTCTCTTTGTCTTCCACTTTCTCCTCACCTGCATTCCCATCAAACAAATCCAACCGCAGAGAAGAACAAATCTTTCTCAAGTGGACGAGACTCCAGAAACTTCTCCCTTTCATCAGAGCGATTTGTTGTAAACCAGATAAACACGTCTCAGAGTGGAAGCTTGAGTGGCCACCAGCACCATCCCAAGAGATCATCAGAAAAAGAGTCTCATCCGCTTCAGACATCCACGGAAATGTATGAAAACGAGGGGAGAGACGTTGAGCCCGGTGCTTGCATTGTGCCTCGAGATGATGACATCGAGAAGTCCTTCTGTGTGAATCCAGACGGCAGCATGACAGTGGAGATGAAAGTCCGCCTGACCATTAAGGAGCAGGAGCTGCTTTACTGGACGACCACGCTCAGCCGCTCCAGCCTTAGCAGGAGGAAAGTCTGTACTTCTGGTTCTGCCTCTGAAAGAAACTCACCTGACTCGAACAACGTCATTGCCAAAGACTCCTCGAATGTTCAAGAGGACGAAACAAAAGAGGACAACTGCCACAATGGGGCTGTCAGCTTTAACGATGAGCAGACTTGTAAAAGCTTCACTTCCACAACTTTAGGGAAAGCTACAACAAGGCTGAAGCGCACTCCTACGCCAGGTCCCCGACACGTTAATAAAAAGACGTCTGTCGAGAGCGTGAAGGTGGTTACAGAGACGGGGGTTCAGGAGAGCACCAAGGGACATTATTCTTATACGGAGAGGACCAGAGATGGTGAGACAGCTGAGGAGTTCTGCATTGTTCGACACAGTAGCAGCAGCAGCAGCAGACCCATGGCCAAACCTCGTACAACAGCATCATCAGGAGCGAGCAACGAGCGCTTCTCCACGAGGACTTCAGGGGAAGCCGAGGTCCTTCAGATTCAGAACAACGGAATGGAGGTCACAGAGACGGTGATGCATATTTACGAAAGTCAAGGCTGTTACGACAACTACTTTGCAAATGAGGAATACAGCGCAGATGCAGCTTCTTTACAAGCCTCTCCTTCGGTGGCAGAAAGCAAACCGTCCACAGACTCCGGGCCTCTCTCGTCCAGCAACGACTGCGATATAGATTGTAACTGGCAGCCGCCTAATGCTGAGTCACTGCAGAGGCAGAAAGAGGAGATGCTTTCACTGTCATCAGAACCAGAGTCGCTGACACGTCAGGTTGCAAACAACCCGTCTCCAGCACTGGAGAACAAAGCTGTCAACACACAAAGTATGGAGAAAGTCAAAACAGAAAACACGGCAACAAGCATCAAAAGGAAAAAGATCATCAGCTCAACAGCTTCTACAAACAGCACAGACAAAACCCGGAAAGAAATCCGCTCCTCAAGGCACAGTAAACATTCATCTACTGATAAGATGAGCAGTGATGCCAGTGTTGGGAAAAAGAGCCTGAGCTCATCAGAGAAATCCAAAAGTGTTTTAAACAGTAAAGGAGAGGAAAAATCACACTCGAGACCATCGATCAAAGATCAACCAAGACCCCAAAAGGGTTCAGCCTTATCTCTACCATCTGAAAATGTTACAACAACCCCGCCTAAGAGGATAAACACGGTTAAAGCTGCCGGAAATGATAACAGCCTCAATGTAAATTCTCCCATCGGAAGGCCTCGGATCAAAAAGAACATGTCAGACATTTTACCAACAAAAAAGTCCTCAGCGTCAAGCACAAGGACAATTGGCAGGCCCAAGTCTCTGATGGAATGCCAGCAGTCACCTCCCAAGCTGAATGTTGAGCTGAGTGAAAGTGGATCCATTCCTTCTCTCAATCCCTCACCTTCGGAGATCCACCAGTACGTCGAGGACTGGTTAGAGAAGGTCAGTCCGAACCCTGCGCCGTATGCAGAAGAGCTGATGGCAGACGACGCTGAAGCTCGGACAAAGGTTGTGTTTAAATTGGGTGATGACTCTGAATCAGAGGAAGTCACTGACCACCAGACAAATGTCAGTGATGCTATGAAGAAGTCCTCTTCCTGTCTATCGGTTCCTCTTTTTCACGAGGGCCCAGCAACACCGCTGCTGCAAGGGGAACAGAGAGCACGAGGGCTGTGTGTTTCAATGCCAAGTGTCAGAGCTGACCCACTAACACACGAGAACAAGCTCAGGCTGCACAAATCCGCAGAGGCGATCGGTCCAGATGAAAGTGCAATGTCTTTATCTAACATGTTGAGCCCCAAAGACAAGATGAAACCTGTCCTCCAGCAGCTTTGCTCGTCAATTCAGTGCATCAGAAGAACCAGCGACGCAGCGCCCACGCTTCAAAATTCCAGCAGCCTTCCCAATTTCTCCACGCAAGTCGCCTCCGTGTTCGGATCGTCGTGCAAAGCCTTCCTGTCATTTCTGTCTGTGATGACTTTGAAAGACAACCTAAAAGGCTCCCCGCCAGCCGGAGCTAATCAGTCAAGAACCACGTCGGAGGCCATGTTAATGATGGAATCCCTGCAGAAGATTTCCACCATGGAGGACGAAGAGAAGCAAAGGGCCAGTCTGACTGATTTGCAAAGCAGAGCGTCATCTCAGTTCAGAGAGAGATGGAAGGATTTCCAGATTATGAGAGAAAGGTTTGAGAGCGAGCCGCTCTCCCCCAGAGTTTCAGAGACGGAGTTTGCTCTGGATGTCGTTTCTGAAGGTGGGGATCTGTTTGAGGAGCGTCGTCTGGGTCTGGATGAGCTGATGGATGAGCTGAACATGCCGCAAGACCTCCGGGAGGAAATCGCCTCGACGATCCAAAGCTTCTACCCGGTCGACGAGAGCACCTTTGTTGAGACGGTTAAGCACGAATCAGACTCGGAGGAAGACGTGGAACTGCTTATTGGTGAAGATGAAACAAAACTTTCACCAGAGGCCGACAGTTCAGCTGAGGACCTAAATGAAGCAAGAACAGAATTTAACGGGTCAGAAGAATCAGAGATAAACAAGCCGCCGAAAGATGAGGAAGTAGAGGAAGGAAATCCAAAAGAGAATGAAGAAAAAGAAGAATGGAAAAGGGAAGAAGGTGTTGTAGTGAGGTTTCTTGAGAAGGCAGGAAATGATGAGAAGCAGAAAGATTGGGAGGAAGAGAGAATAAGTGGTGGAGAATCTGATGAGAAAGGAAGAGCAGGAATAACAGAGGATGAGGAGGTCATGAGGAATAGGTTAGAAGGAATAGATAAAGATCAAACTGAAGAGAATGGTGAAGGGTTAGCAGATGAAACAGGACATGAAGGTAGCGTAGAAGATACGGATGAAAGAGAAGGTGCCAACGAGACAGAGGAGGAAGAAAAGGAAGCAGAAACTTTAATCGATGAGAGTCAGGAGGAAGGGGACAATTTTTCTGAGGATGTAGAAGAGGAGGAGCGAATGGGGAAGGGTGAGCTCCACGATGAAGATGAGGAAGAACCTTTAACAGATGGCAGGGGTGAGGAAGAAGGAGAAAAACTATGTTATGTGGGTGTAGAGGAGGAAGGAAAAGGTGAGAATGACGACAGAGATGAGGCAGAAGCTTTAAGTGATGAGAGTCAGAAGAAAGTAGAAAATCCTTGTGATGTAGAGAAGGGAGGAAACAGTGAGGAAGATGAAGAAACCATAGAACATGAAGAGAAAGAGGTGGAAGAAAATGGCCTCACAGAGGAGGCAGAGGAAGGGACTGATGAAAAGTGGAAAGTCAGTGAAGAGAAATGTGAGGAAGCAAACAGGGAGGAGGGCAATGACAGAACTGATGAAGGTGAAAACAAAGAAGAGGTGAAGCAGTTAATGAAGGAAGTTATAGAGAGAAATGTCAATGAGGAGGAATTTAGTGAAGAATACAAAAGTGAACAAAAAGAGAAGGACGACACAGAAGAAGAAAGGTGTGATCAGGCTGAAAAAGACAGAAATGTTCAGGAAGTAGAATCAACAGAAGAAGGGGAAGTCATAGATGAGTTAGGGGATGAGGAAAACATGACTGTAGATGAAGAGGAGAGGGTCAGTGATGAAGAAGAGCGGCCTTCAGAGCACAGAGGCAGCTGCCAAGGAGCAAATCTACAAGATAATCAGGAATCTCCTTCCCAGTATTCCTCTGAAGGCCAGTGTGAGGATGACAAAGGCAGAGACACTGCCCACGAAACAGATGAAGGAGGGGAAGAGCATGAAGCTGGAAGCATCAGTTTGTCCCATCCAGGAGAAATTTCCCAGGAATTACTTGACTTTGTGAATAATGCCCTCCAGTCCCATTCCCTGGTGTTCACATATGACACCCAGGGGAACTTGAGGATAGTGACTGACAACGCTCGAGTTGTACAACCCAAACAAGGCATGATACCAAAAGCTGGGAAGGACAATTCTTATGGTTTAAAATGTCTGCCAAGCCCGATCACGTCTGATTTATCTGATTACAGACCGGAAACTTCAGGAAGTGGAGGATATAAAACCCAGGAGTCTGAAGACATTGTTTCAGAGAATGGAGAAGATGCTCCAGAGAAACAGTCAATCAAAACTCAATCATCATCCAGGACTGAGAGAAGGAATCAGAGACGGGCTGTCTCAAATGTGTCTGCTGTGAGCAGCTCAGAGGCCTTGCAGAATTCCAGTATCGGAAGTGTGAGGAGTTCCAGCGATGCCGGTACTAAGTCTTCCAGGGAAGATCTCTCCTATTTCAGTGCTGCGAGCTCACTAAAAGCAGAAGCTGAAGCACAAAATGCACAAAGCAACACCGATGGTGTTTTGATTGATCAAGGGAGGTGGCTTCTGAAGGAGAACCACCTCATACGGAAATCTCCTCCAGTCTCCTTGGGAATGTACAGGGATTTGGACAGCACATCCGTAGACACAGCTCACGGGAACATGAGTGAGGATTCCCCGCCTTACACCAAAACCCAACACGACCCCCTCGCTGCCATTTCCTCATCGGAGCTCGAGGAGATGGCGAAGCCTCTAACTCCAAAGTGCACCTACTACAACATGCCTCACGGGAGTGACTCCGACCCGTTTTTAGACGACGTCAGCGACAGAAGTGTGAAGCTCGACGCGAGCAGCGTGAAAGCACGAGGCTTCAGGGTGTCGCCAGCTGTCGACACGTCTAAAACTTGGACAAACAGAAATGGAAGCCTGTCGTCGTTTGCATCGGTTGAGTTCAAAATCCCAGACAGGAAGGTGCATCCTGAGGGTGAGTCATCAGCTGTGAGGCAAACAAGAAGGACATCTAGTGGAGAGCAAGGTGCATTACAACCTCAGGACTCTCTGGAGTCATTGCATTTGAGATGTGGTCAGTACTGCCCCATACTGTAGGAGCTGGACTCTGACTGTCAACAAATACGCTGTTCTGCTAGTTTTTGAGGGACTGGTTTTATTGTGTTGCTGCTAGAAAGTGATTTATTTTATATAAGCATACTGTTGCAGAGGAGAGTTGTGCCTCTGGTGTTGGTGTTGTCAAAAATATTTTTATACAAAAAAATAAATTCAGTTGATGCTGATAAAATTAATGTTTCAGCAAATTAAAAACAGACTTTTTACCGACTCTGAGTTTCTGACTGCCAGTTTGTACATTCCTGATTTAGATGAAAACATCATTTTTTCCCCCTGTATCAGTCAGAGAAGTAAATCATGTCTGTATTTATGTTTGTTTTTAGGAATGTAGCAAAACGGGAGGATTTAAAAGTAAAGAGGTAACTTTAAATATTGGTGAAAGGGTTAAAAATAATAGACATTATACTTATTTTATCAGTAAATCAAACTGGAAAAATCTAACCGTGCCTTCATTCAAATATTTAGATTTAGATTAGTTATTAATACACAGTAATTTGATTATTACTGTAAATACTTAAGAAAGTTATATGCATGCAATACATTTCAATAATCATGAGGTGTCTTCTGTCTTAGAAAATCATGTTTCCCAATTCCTTAACTCACTTAAAGGAAAACTGAAAACCATTTTTTTGATGAATATTTTTGATTAAACTCGGTCACACATCTCCTTCATTAGCTTCTGATAGAAAACAGACGGTGAAAGTCTGTCACACTGTCACTTAGTATTCATGGACTCACCCATTTTGACTCATGACGGGGAAGCATGTTGTTGGTTTAGCGTCCAGGAAACAGCAAAGAACATATTGGCTATTAGAAGCTAACCCTCAGCATTAGCAACTCTACCACATGGCAGAACTCCTCCAGGCGTTTGTTGTTTGTGAAGATAAAACATCAGCATTGCAGAGCAAACCGAGCCAGTGGTGGCATTGCATTGCTGTTAGCCAATCGGAGGCGAGATATCCAAATATCAGGAAATAAGATTTCTGATCCTGTTGTGTTCTGCCACTCTCCCCTCCAGTTAACTCCTCTGCTGACAGGTACTTCTGGGCTTTTTTTTACTCAAGTTTGACTTACAAAGCATTCTTTCCTAATAGAAACCGCTGCAAATGTACTGATAAAACGAGTGTTCAACACCTTTAAACTCATTCACTAGAGGTAGGACCTCACTAGAAGAAGCAAGTTATTATTATTTTCTCAAGAACCATGGCCTCAGATTTGGAGGTTCTGATCATCATCCCAGTTGCTTCACACTGGGCTGAAGACCTCCCCAACACACAGTTCTATGGTCACAGTCTTAAGGAGCTAAACAGACCACGCCAACTTCTAAATGCATTGTTTTAATCAGGTAGTAAAAACTCATTTTCACACATAGATTGACCATTTTTACATACTTTTATTCGAATAATATATTGTGAAACATGTCTGGAGTATTTTATTTGAAAGTTGTATTATTATTTAATGGTCTAAAGTACTTACTTCTAGCTGTTGTTTCTTCTCAGTCTGGTGTTATCCTTCTCAGACGGTTGAGAAAATGTTGTGTTAACCCTCTGGAGGCAGGCGTTGCAGATTTGCAACACTTAAAACCTACCTACCTGGTTACTCCACATACGTATTTCATGAGCCTTTTTTTAATTCAGAAGTACCCCTGAAGGACTTAGTTGTTCATCCTTTTATCAAAACTTATTTTGAGCCTGAGAGGGTTAATGTAACTAATGCCTCTGATGCAGTGAGGAGAGACAACTGATGTGATCCTCCCTGACAGATCAGCTTTCAGCACGAGTGACAAGAGGGGACAGAAGACAGATAATTAGTTTAGACAGTTTGCCCTATTTTTTTTAGATAAGGGTTAGGGTTTCATGGCAACGAGAAAAGAAATTTAGCAAAAATGTCATCATGGTGTATTTGCACGTTTCCTCATTCTCCTCTTGACCCAAACAACCCCTAAAAAGAACGAGACAAAGACACGAGGAAACAAAGACATGGAGGTCTTTACAAAGTGGCCATTCTGGACTCTTTCCAACAGGATTTTGCCAGTCACCATGGAGATCTGGAAAAACAACCTCAGCTGTTTAATTCCTCTGTTGTTGCTGTAGCCCAGAGGTATTCAGTGGAAGCTTCTCTGAAATGCACACACATCTCTACTCAGTCCAGTTTGCTCATCGCTGACGGGAAAGGGCAGAAGAGATCCACAAAGCCAAGATTAAGTTAAATTAAAGTGGTCATAAAGAGGCTTTACATTGGGAATAATTTATCGCAGCACTAAACTTTTGTGCATGCTCCTTCTGCAGAAAGAAATAGCTTTAACACAAACACTTTTTCTGGATAGGAGCAGAATGGTTCTTTCAACACCTAACATGCTAAATTCACCAAGAAAATTCAGTCTACTAAAACACTACATCGTAATCATGGTTTTATGAAGCAGGTTTCTTTTTTATGTCTTTATTCAAGAGAGATTCAGGGAAAGGCCTAACGCTCCTGAAAATCTGCTTTCAAGTGACTTATGTCTGTTTTACATTTGAACAGATTTCTCAGGTTTTTACTTAGCATCACATCCTGAAAGAATCTGATTACTTCTGGAAAAAAACAAAATGTCATCATCGCCTCCTGAGCTGTGAAAATGTCCATTCGGAAACGCTCCTAGTTTGTAAAAATTAAACGATCATGGTGTTAGTGTTCTGGTCAGAGGTTCATTGTTCTAGATTAGTCTCCTGTGACACAGATTGTTATTTCACCCCAGACCCCCAATCATTCAGCACCCAGCACACCTGTCCTTCACCTTTTGAATCCAGCTGCTCCTCATTCTCCTAATCACCATGTATGTCTTCAGTTCCTCTTAGTTCCTATTGTGCATCACCATGGCTTTCCTCTAGTATCCTCTGACCCCTTCTTTCCACTGGACGTGAGAGCGGCATGTAACAAAATAGAAGTGTTTCATCCCCAAGCTCCCTTCCAACCGGGAGCTGATCCCATAAGGATAAAAATCACGGGAGAATTGCAACACCAGGCGTGATTTCAGAAGTTCAAACAACCCCCTTGTTTGAGATGAGCAGCGCCTCGCCTGGAAAAAAGACGAGAGCAGATGACGCAGTCGGACAGGTTTCCCTACATGTAGCTTGCGGGCGACGATGTCATGGTCTGTATCTGCCCCTTCCTTCATGTGCCTCCTGGTGTTTCTCCATCCTCTCTAGGTGCTCCTTTTGTGTCTTCTAGCGCCCTCATGTGTCGTGTCTGCATCTTCCTCATGTGTCTCCTGGTGTTCCCCATTTGCCCTCTAGGTTTCCCCCCTCAGACATCCCTTTCCCAGGTCCTGTGCTCTCTTGGCCCCCTCTTAGCCACACCCCTGTTGTTTCTTTCTATGGTGTTTTCCTTTAGTGTCAGCTTCCCCTTAGTATATTAGTCATGGTTCACGCTTTCTGGTCTTTTGTTTTTCTCTTAGGTCATTTTACTTTGTTACAGCCTTTCAGCATTTAGTGTGTTTTTCCCACCAGTGTTTTCTTCCTCCTCCCTGATTCAGTCATTGCCTTCACCTGGTCCTCCTCCCACACCCCACACACCTGCAGCTCATCTCCCACTCATCCTCCCTGTGTATTTAAGCCCTGTCTTGTCTCAGTGTCTTGTCGGTCCATTGTGTTTGTATTCTGTCAGCGTTTGTTCGTGCTCTTGGTGAACGTTGTTTCTCCTGCTTTGGAGTTTTGGACTTTAGGCTCGCTGCCTTTGGATTTATTTTGTTCATCCTTCAAAAATAAAGGATTTTACTTTACATCATCTCCTGCCTCGTGTCATCCTGGGTTGCTGCATATTTGGGTCCTAAACATCCCCAAAACGTGACAGACGACGGATGAAGATGTCGCATTAGAATTCATGTTTGTTCAATTTTTCATTTTAATTCTGGTGCCTGTGAGCAACTGAGACACATTCTAGCATAATATTGTAGACATGTGCACATGAAGATGTGACTGTAATAATAAGTAAAGGTCATCAGCTGTAGAGTTCTAGTGTGCTCATAGGAAACGTTACAAAAGAAAACAAATCACATTTCTCTTTATGGCCTATAGTTGTCATCATCATCATGATTTACAGAATACATGTGACCAACTAACATTTCGCATTTTGCTACCAGATGTTTGGGTCAGAATGTGAACCAATCAAATCTTACATCAGGTGAGACATGATGTGGAAATCCAAGTCAAGTCCAAGTCCTTAACTTTGAATTTTCAAGTCATCTGTCCAACTTCAATTTAATGACAATGATAATAAAGGTTTCACAGCCGGTGGACAGCAACTGCCGCGCCTTGCTCCAAAATCTGCGGCCGCCTTGATCTCATGAGGTTATTGTTGCCTGTGTAGGCATGACAGTGCAAGTCGGCATTAAGTCGGACACAAATCTAACATCACTATCTGTCATGCACTGTGCGTCCATCACCGGTGATCCAATCTGCACAGAATTGGCTCATCTCTAACACGGCCAACAAAAAGCAAGGAAAACAATGGCAGCATGTATCCCAAAATGCCTGTGGCTCTTTTTCTGTTCTGTTTACATTGGTTATGGGGGTTTTACATGTAACGTTTATTTTGAAAGTTTCCAGGTGCTTTACATTACTTTTATGCTTGACTTCTTGTCTGGCCTGATCTCAACTGAGTTTGATGTGTTTTGGAAGCGTATCACGTAAAAATTAGACTTGAAACATAATGACAGACAGCACCCACTTTACACTTACTTCTGGTGGACAGGAAGCCATGTGCTGTAGCTAACTGCCACATGGTACGTTTTGTGGCCATTTAGTGATACTTTCTCCTCTTGCGGAAGGAAGGGGTGACTGTTACTTCATGTGGAATATTTATTAGTTAGATTGTGTGCTGCCTTGTCAGCCTTTTATTTAATTATCAAAATTATTTAACATTTTCTGAGTCCTTGTCCATGTCTGAAGGTTAGCTTCACTTTCTATCGTTGAACTTAGAGGTGTGACCAAGTCACTGCTTTGCGAGTCACAAGTAAGTCACAAGTCTTTCCAGTCAAGTCTTGAGTCAAGTCCAAGTCAAAGAATACCAAGTCCAAGTCCAAAGTCAATGATGTGGAAATCCAAGTCAAGTCCAAGTCCTTAACTTTGAATTTTCAAGTCATCTGTCCAACTTCAATTTAATGACAATGATAATAAAGTCCAGAAATAAAGCTTCTTAAAGCTTCGTTTATTTGCTCAAACAGCAGAAAATGCAACTGAAACTGATTATAAACAAAGTGCTGCTGCATTTGGCAGTAAAAGATCAAACCCAGAACAAGGAATGATTTATGATTTTTGTCCATGTCGTGCCACTTTTGTGCAAAAATATTAAATATGTTCAAGTCATCATCAAGTCAACAGATACAAGTCATTGGCGTTCAAGTCCGACTCAAGCCGTAAGTCTTTATAGATTTTATCAAATCAAGTCAGAAGTCATTAAAATAATGACTCAAGTCTGACTCGAGTCCAAGTCATGTGACTCGAGTCCACACCTCTGCTT